TTTTGATATAGGGCTGTTTTAATTTTTATGTATTATGTGTTTTATTTATTTACTTTTGCTGTTTTCTGTTATTCTATTGTTTTTAACTTATTTTATGTACAGAACTTTACAAGTGAAGAATAGTACAGGAGAGTATAAATACAGGTTTAATGCTTTATTTAATACTTGCAGAACAACAAATGAAAACTGTACACTTATACCTGCCTACCAAACCTGAGGTTCTCACAGCAAGTCTAGATTCTTAAATTTAAAAATACCAGTAAATTAATGTAAATGCACTAAATGAGCTAAATAAAGAAAACAAATATCAATATAAAAGACCATCTCAATTAAAACAAAACAAACATCTTCTATATATTCAAAAAGAAACTAGCAGCATGGTGGTGCAGTGGTTAGCACCATCCCCTCACAGTAAGAAGGTCCTGGTGGGCTCAGGCCTCCCTGTGTGGAGTCTGCATGTTCTGTCTGGGTACTCCAGCTTCCTCCCACAGTCCAAAGACATGAATGTTGTTCTAAACAGTGATTATATTTACCACAGGTGAGAGTGTAAATGGTTGACTCTGATAGTCTGGCAGCCACATCATCACCACAGTGGACAGCATCATGTTTAAGATTTAGATGGAAAAACATAGAAACAGCTCCTAGATTTCAGTTTGCCTAAACAGAGCACCCCCCCCCTCAGAAAAAGAAAGCATATACTATCAATGGAGATTAACACGACCAGACTTCCTTTATATAAACTAAATTAACAAAACTAAAATCCCAGTCAGAATAAACGCTGCCATTATCAGATGACAATAAGATGATAAAATTTTTTTAGAGAACATAAAAAAATATATACCAATAAAACACTTGCTGAAAGTATGACAAAAGAGTGTGCGCTTGGCTCTCTCTAGAGCTCTGACACTTTAAACTGGACCCATTTAAACGTTAAAGCTTATAGTTCCAAAGCCTAAGAAAATATTTTCTTTACTTTGTTCCAAACTAAATTCATTGTATTGTTTTTGTGATCCATCTTCTAATAGCTCAAATTAAATTAGTGCAAAAGATTTAGCAGCAGATTAGAATCAAGTATAACAACACTTGTATGTTTTCTGCATACTAAATGAATACATGCACATTCCAGTTAAACCTCTCAACTTTACCTGCTCTTTAACAAGTTATGTGTTCAGTCTAAGTTACCATGACCTTTAAATCAATATTTATATTCATAGCTCTTTCAATTATTCATTCCTGAACAGGGTAATTAAAACCAGATTTAAAAAAATCAAGTTTTGTGACACAAACCTCTGACTTTTAGCTCAACGCAGCTCACTGAGCCAATAATCTTGTATTGATAGTGCACCGCTTAGCATGAGTTTTCATGTGACACAACAAATGAGTTCTAGAGTTAAACATTTTCCCACATGTTTTACATCCATACGGTTTCTCGCCTGTGTGTGTTCTTATGTGCTCTGCCAACATAGAGTCACGGCTGAACGATTTCCCACATGTTTTACAATGATATTGTTTAACACCTGTATGCATTCTCATGTGTTTCAATAAGGAACTACTATATCCAAATACTTTCCCACATGTTTTACAATGATATGGTTTCTCACCTGTATGCATTCTCATGTGCTTAAATAAAGAACTACTATATCCAAACATTTTCCCACATATTTTACAATGATATGGTTTCTCACCGGTGTGCGTCTTCAGGTGCATCAGTAAATCACTGTTATAAGCAAACATTTTCCCACATGTTGTACAAGAATAAGGCTTCTCACCTGTGTGAGCTCTTCTGTGCTTCCCCAAAGAGCTATTACATACAAAACCTTTACCACAAATAGTGCATGAAAACGGTTTCTCGCCTGTGTGGATTCTATAATGTCTTGTCATTTCATAATTATACCGGAATACTTTTCCACAAACATCACATTTTAGATACTTTTTACCTTTATCAGAGTTACA